GGCTTTGAGTAGCTACCCGAATCCCTAGCATCTTCTTATCTACTTGCGCTTTGTGGCAGAGGCCAGATAGAACTTCACTACATAGAATGAAGATATAGGGTGATAAAGGATCTCCTTGCCTAATACCTCTTTGTGGCTTAACCCATCCCATAGCTGAGTCATTGATTAGGAATGAATAGGTGACTGTTTTCACACATTGCATAATCCAGTTAATCCAAACGGAATGGAAGCCAAAGTGAATCATTACTTCCTCAATAAAATCCCACTCCAAACGATCATACGCCTTGCTCATGTCAGTTTTCACTGCCATTGAGCAACGCTTTGAGGCTGTGGATGTCTTTAAATAGTGCAGAACTTCGTGTGAAATTAGGATGTTGTCCGCGATGGCTCTGTCTTGTACGAAGGCGGATTGATTTTCAGAAATCAGGTCTGGTAGAACCTTTTTGAGTCTGTTACCTAACAGCTTGGAGATTATTTTGTAGTAGACGTTGCATAACGCAATTGGTCTATAATCTGCCACTGTTTGGGCTTCAGTGATCTTAGGTATTAACCGGACATGGGTGTGGTTCAGGGATCTCGGCATGATGCCGGAAGTAAAGAAAGTTTGGACCTCAGCAATAATGTCTGGGCCTACAGTACTCCAGTTAACTTGGAAGAAACTTGCTGAGAAGCCATCCGGACCAGGGGCCTTGTCCGGATGGATAGCAAGTAGAGCCAAGTATATTTCAGACGCAGTTGGGATAGCGATGAGCTCTTGATTAGTCTCTGCTGAAATTTTTCTGCTTAAGGCCTCAGCGACAATTTGTCTCCTCTCGCCAGGGACTGTTTTGAATAGCATCTTGAAATAGTCTACTATAGTTCCTGCAATCTCTTCCTCTGTAAAAACTGGCGTGCCTGCTGCAGTTTCTATTACAGAAAAAGTATTCTTTGCTTTCCTTCCCTTAGTAACAGCATGGAAGTAGCCTGTATTTCGGTCTCCTAGGCTTAACCATAGATTCCGGCTTCTTTGTTTCCAAAAGGCTTCTTCTGCCAAGTAGGCAGCATTGAGGTTTGAATTGAGTCTGGTTAGAAGAGCTTCATCATTCGTGGGGCTCGTCATTGCTTGCTCTAGTTCTTCTTTCCATTTGTTGATTAAGGTTTTGCTATTTCGTTGTTGCTCCTTGCTCCATCTTACTATAGCTGAGCGCACCATAGCTATTTTTGATTGTACAGAACAGTGTTTAGCTCGATTCCATGTCTGAGACACCAAGTCTTTGATTTCAGGAATATCTTTTAATCGTCTATCAAATCTGAACAAGCTTTTTCCTCGTTTTTTGTTCAGGTCAAAGCACGTCAGAATTGGCTTATGATCAGAGCCTTCATAATTCAGATACTCTACACATGTTGAGTGAAATATATCAAACCAGTGGCTATTAGCAACGGATCGGTCAAGCCTGCATCTAACCACCTCGTTTTCATTATCTTCCATCCCCCTGACTCCTCTCCACGATAGATAATCACCGGTATGAGGAAGATCAAAGAGGTCGCATTCTGCCATAAAGCTTCTAATATCAAAGAAAGAAGCTTCCGTTCTTGTACGGCCTCCAAGCTTTTCTTGATTGCTTAGTATGTCATTAAAGTCTCCTGAGACAAACCATGGGGAGTCGCGAGCAATTGCAAGAGTAGTCAGCTCAGCCCATAGGCTTCTTCTTACCACAACATCAGTGTCAGCATAGAGAAAGGTAGAGTAGAATCTTTTGTTTTCATATATGATCTCAGTGTTGATGTAGTGCTTACACGAAGATAATACATCAACTTTCACTTTTTGATTCCAGAAAACAGCTAACCCACCAGCTCCATGGCCTGTGGGTGGTACCAGAAAAGAGTTTGAAAAATCCAATGAAGAACATTTGCGGAGGACGAAGTCATTGGGGTTCTTGGTCTCCGAGAGGAATATGATATCTGGAGAGAAGCGTTTATGTATCTCCTTCAGGCGCTGAACTGTCTGGGAATTCCCCAACCCACGACAGTTCCAGCTAACTATTTTTAAGGAACTGGATCGGGCAGATTGTGAAAATCCACCTTTCTTTTCACCATTGCTGGAACCAATCGAGCTCGAGGTTGACTTGTTGCTGCCGTACTATGAGATCTTGTAGAAGGAGCTAGTTGTGATGTTGAATCTCTGTTGGCTCTGGTTCCTCTCGTGGAAGATGCAGGAGCATTACGTCTTTTTGGTGAGATCCGGATTGGAGTAGTTCTTCTCTTTTTTACTCCTGCTCCTTTTTTTGTTTGGACTCCTAACGGTTTGGTTTGATTCTTTGCAAGGGGGGGCCTTCCCAGTCTCTTTTTCACAGGAATTCTAGTAGGAGCACTACTTGTGGAGGCCAAATTAGGGTCAATTGGAGGGCCAAGTCGTTCCAAGGCCGGGAGTCTTGCATTATTGTTTTCAACCACCTCATTATGGCGAACAACCATATTCAGAGCATCATTAATGGCTTCATCTGCATTTAGGTTAGTCTCAATGAATGTCATATTAGCTGCCACCATATTCCGAGCCACCTCCTCTTCTTCTCCTTCTTCTGTCTCTGCTCTAATTCTTTCTTGTCTTGCAACTCTTTCTGTTGGATCAGCGCAGTTAGCATATATGTTTAGAGCTTTCCTAATTTCCCCACGAGCCGCGTCAACAGCAACACTGTAGGTAGTAGTGTCTGGTAGGTGTTGCTCTGCTTCTCTGGTAGTGGATCAAATGGGTGATATTCATCGTGAAAGCGTATATACTGTGTTATTGGAGAGTTCAAATCCAATATGATATCCAAGCCCATTAATCCATGTATCTAGGGTTTTAGCATTATAGATTTCATATAAATAAGTATGTCATGACATTGTGAAAGAGTAACCTTGGCAGCCTCCTTCAAAACTGTTTCATGAAATCAATGATATTATAAGCTCTTGGTGACAGTTTCACAAAAAAAAAAAGCTTTTGGTGAAAACTCTAAGTTCCTTTATTTTCAATGCACTAAATAAAGTTTTAATAAGCTAATGTTTAAGAATCTAATTCACTTATTAACATATAATTTAAAATATTAATGTTTTTTGACGTAAAAATTGTTTTGGGCCCAAATAATGCTCAAATATTTAGGAATCAAATAGCTCAAATTTCACACTCTTTCTCGAGGCAAATCTCTGCTCCTATAGATTCGTAGGTGCCTAAAAGACTCAAATTGAAGCCATGCATGTCTTTTGCTTTTTCTTAGCAAAAAAAAATGTCTTTTGCTTTCACAACTTGTCATTCCCCATGCAACTTCTCACCAAATCTTACAAGGTATATAATTTGCATATTAGACATTTTTATTTTTTTCTAGACACTTTTAACTAATTCAAACTTGTACAATGGCATCAATCAGCTAGCCAGAACTGTAGAAAGTTCAATTTTTTAGTCTAGAGTTTTGCAAGATTTGGTGTTTGGGTTACTTCTCTTAGCCATTATTGTGGTTTAAACCTGTACAAAAAAATCATTTAAACCTTCGAGTCCATTTCGCTAATACTACTACTTACAATCATAAAAATCTCGCTTTAGCATTTCACAGTGTTTATTGTTGGGTAAACATTTACGTCATTTTAAACTGTTATTTAGCCGTCTTTATTTTAAGTAGTCTTGTAAAATGCGTGTAAGACGACTATACTAGTATGTGATAAGACGTAGTATTTTGTTTTATATGATGTGGTATTTTTTTTTTTTGTCAAACTATATGATGTGGTATAATCGTTCTTATATTGTCTTCATCGATATGTTCTTTGAGAAATTATTTTATTCGAGACCATTTTTATGTATAGTATTATATAATTTCTCTTAGTATGAATTGTAAATATATATATTGTTCTGCTTATCTGTTGACAAAAAAAAAATTGTTCTGCTTATCTTATACTATGGTGCTGATATAATATTTCTTATACACCAATTTATAAGCAAAAACAATATTTTAAAAAATATCTACATGTAAATCTGTAACTTTAAATAAAATTACATGTAGGCGTGCATTCAATATGATTTTCGACTCAACTGATGTAAGGAACATTTATGTATGATATTTTTTTCTCGTACGTATACCAGAAACTAACTATCTGAAAAGAAAATAACTGAGCCATATTTGAACTCGCCACTTCGTCGTCAGCTTGAGCTACAATAAGCAAAGATATGATCGACATAAAATGAGTCCACGAGGCGAAGCAACTAAGCCACTAGAATTTTCTATTTTGACGGTTTACAATATAGGATCACGGTTTTGTTTCTTTGCCAAACATTATGAAATATTTGAAATCGTTAAGAAATCGAAGAGCCAAGCGACTCAACTTCATATTGTCGTGTTATATAAATATACTATATATATAATGTAAGTATAAGACATGGTAATAAAATACTAAGATATGCCAATTTCCGAAGCAAACTAGATTTATAGGCTTCTCATGACCTACAAAGAACACAATCCAACCAGCTATCTTTTGCCGCCCTATTATATTAACGTTCGTATTTATCCTTACTGTCTCTTTCATTTCCAAGACTTATGGCTCTCCTTCATTAAAACACTTCATAAAAAACATTCGTAATCCCCATAAAGAATAAGAAAAGTTATTTAAAATCACATAATTTAAACACTTTTTCACGTGGGAATAATAAGTAGTTATAAACAATTTGGCATTGACAACTATTAGTATCATTTTCTGTTAGCTGCAGTTTAAAACGAATTAATTAACTGATATTATTAATCTTAAGAGTAATGATTGATTTGACAAAAGAAAAACCTGAATAAATCCAAAATGTATTTTCTTCTATCTGTCTTCTCATAAAGAGTAGCCTCTTTTTCACCATTTCAGCCGCTCCGTGCCATGTTTTCAGAGTCTTCAGCACAGAAAACGACACGCATGTCACTGTCTTTCTCTCTTCATTTCATTTGACTCTGTTCCACTCCCTCACTGAATTGCTATATAAATCTAAGAGCCTCTCCATGAGTTTCATGCATCACTCAAACCCCCAAATTCTGCATCCAAATAAATCCTCTCAGAAAATCTCATAATGGAAAACGAAGGGAAGGCTGGAACGGCAAGCAGTTCAAGGTGGAGCCCAACGAAAGAACAGATAACGCTTCTTGAGAATCTTTACAAGGAAGGGATACGAACACCAAGCGCCGATCAGATACATCAGATCACGGGTAGGCTTCGTGAGCACGGCCATATCGAAGGTAAAAACGTCTTTTACTGGTTCCAGAATCATAAGGCTAGACAACGCCAAAAGCAGAAACAGGAGCGCATCGCTTACTTCAATCGTCTCCTCCACAAAACCTCCCGTTTCTTCCGCCCGCCTCTTTGCTCAAACGGCACGTAGAGTTCTCTTCTATATTCTCTCTTATTATACGTACTTTCTTATTGACCATATAGTATATTATATTTTTACATCTATAGTTTATTGAAATTTAGTACACTAACATATATTATCGGTTTTCTTGTTGATTACGTTTCTTTTTTTCGTATGAATGATTTAAACGAATTGTTTGAACTCGTCGAGTTTCACTAACATATATTATCGGTTTTCTTGTTTTTTCCTTGGCTAATGTAGCAATTTTCTTCAGTTTAATTATATTTTGAGGTTTAGACGTTTCTAAACTTTTTGTAATTTTGTTGTTGTTGTGAAGTCGGTTGTGTTAGTCCGTACTATATACAGCAAGTAAGTGATCATCACAATCAACATGGGCATGGATACAAACACAGTAACAATGTGATGATTCCAAGTGGTGGCTGCGATAAACGCGCAATTTCAGACATGACAACAACAACTGCAGCAAGAATGTCAATGTCGTCGAGTTCACTTAGATTTGACCGATTTGCCCTTCGTGATCATGCTCACTACGGAGAGGGTATTAACGTCAATTCTAACGGGCGGAAGACGCTTCCACTCTTTCCACTTCAGCCTTTGGACGCGGCCATTGGCGATTGTGTTGGAACTTCCAGTTTTGCCCCTGGTCATGACTCTCCGTTGACTTGTTTCGGTGATGGCGGCGAACAAGAGCAGCCGTTTATTGATTTCTTTTCTGGTTGTTCTAGTAGGTTTTGATAATAATGCAGATGGGTTGTAACGAAGGGTTTTAAGTGGAATAAAATATTTTCTTTTATCATTTTTTGAGAAATTTTTCTAAACGGCATTTGAAATTCTTTGAATAGCATCTCTTTTTCATTTTTTTTTTCATTTATGTGGGCATTTGAAAACGACTTGAAAAACTAGTTTGATCGAATACAAGTACTTTTATTTCATTTTTCACACATGAAAAAAATCATAACTTCTGCTTTAATAGATAAGATTAAATAAAAAATATTGAGTGTATAAATATATAGTAAAGTAAAGTTTTTAAATAATTATTTTTTAATGAGTGAAAAACTCCCAATAACATTTCACTCCAAGGTGTTCTGTGCAAGGGACAATGTCACACTCCAGTAAATATATATTTATCAGTTATTATTATGTGTTTAACTTATGGATCATTTACCTTTAATTGTTTAAAAGTCTATTTTTGTGTTTACAGCAAGACTTAATTATACATAGATTCTCTTAAAGTGTTAATAGGAGGAGATGATTGTTGTTATTATGGTATGTAGTCAATCACTTTTCAAATAAAAAGCCTTACTATACTAATTACATTTTACCACCATCCAGTTAATGCAATTTATAACTGAGGATACGTGTATCAAACATTTAAACTCACAACTCTACCAACTAGCATAGTCACATCCTCCACCTCCATACCCATTGGACAACGTTTCACATTTCCATAAAAGCACTGTCCACATCATGCTACAAGTATTATTGTTGGTTATCACGATTTCAATTGTCTACGGCTTAAATGATAAACCAAGAGCTTAGTTAACACTTTAACGTGTTCGCTTCTTGGGATAATTAGATTGAACTAGCGTGTCATTCTTAAGACCACCTTCTCGGGGTTTTTTAGATAGATTTATCGAGCTATTGTGATATATTTGAGACGAAACGACGAACTTCACAACACAGTACTTAATTGTTCTTCGAGTTTGTGATCTATGGATTAGACGTTCTTAATTATAGTTCCAACTCATTTGGTGCATAGTTGACTGTAGATCATAATTCATAATGACATTATCCATATATTAACACATTAGTTATCCATATTCTCATTTTGATTTTTGCGACGACCGGTATTTGCATTAGGGGGATATGAATCTTGTATTCTTCCTTTTAAATTTTGTGGGGAGATATGACTCTTGTAATTCTATTGCATGTTACTATATTTTATAATTTTTAAATCATAAACTACAACTGTTTTAAACATAAAATATTAGTTTTAAATATTAATTTTGAATACGTGGGAGTTGCATCCATGTCGGCGATCGTGAAGAATCTCGGTGTTATTGTATTCACTGAGAGAAACCATTCGAAAATAAAATTCGTATTTCAAACTAAGATCCTAAGAGCATGCCCATTAGGGGATTTAAGAGAGGATTCACACGTTTTTCGAGAAGAACAGCGATGAATTCGGCGCGCGTGGGTTCGTCGTAGTGAACCCGGTTTGTCACGGATTCACCACGTGGCGAGCTGTGATTTGCCAATTTTTTCTTTTTCGAAAAAGTAAAATTTTTCTTTTTTTTTCTATGAACCTCTCCGCATCAGATTCACTGATGGATCCATAGTCCTCTTCACAATATCATTGATATGTATGAAGACCTTGGAGAAAGATAAAAAGAGAAGATGTATTAATAAGGTACTATTATCATATCTTAAACATACCAAGATACAACACAAGAAAGAAAAGATTACAAAAAAACAAGACAAGAGTATAGTAATAACAGCTTAGAAAGCCGTCTTTTATTATCTTATACTAAACCATACACTTCACGCTAATGATGGCATAAACTCCCATTTCACTTGACGCTGTAACAATTCAAACGATCAAGAGTATACGTTAGGACACTAGAAAATATAATCAAATTATAGTTTTTAGAAGGAGCTAGCAATTAGCTAAGTAAAGAGAAGTACAAAAAGAGTGAGAATGTGAACTTGCACTTAGCAAAACGAGAACAAAAAGCTTACTTGTCGCAGTTGGTGCTCATGGAGATGGGATAGGGAATGCTAACACCGCACTTTCCAGGAAGGCTAGAGGCTAGACTTGGGTTGATGCCCTGTGCGGCGGTCTTTAGGCACTTGCATGCTTGTTGGCGGTCTGGTGTGGTTTGAGCCATACCGTTCAATTTTTTGACTCCCGCACAGCATGGAGGTGGCACCGCCCCGCCACTCGATAGGTAGGTGGCACATGGAGCCAAGCTACTTGTCACTGTGCCACATGTGATTGCTGCATCTACTGATGCGACAATCCACACCGTCAAAACAAGACATGTAAAGAACCTCAGAGCCATAGCCATGGTGCTTTGATTCTGTTTTGTGATAAGGAAATAAAGTGATTTAGCTGAGTTTTGTTTTCTAAGCTTGTGTTTTGCTGTTGGATGAGAGAAAAGTGTTGAGGTGGTTATGGGTTATATAGGACTTTAGATGGGGGAAATGATGACTAAGTAGTCGTTTGTTAGTAGTTGGATTGCATTTACTTCATTCAATTCTACTTATAATAATTTAAATACCACATTGGTTACAATAAGACTGTACTAGAATGTACATGAAACATCAATATATCCATTGTAACAATATAGTTACTTTTTGAAATGTGGTTATGTTAAGCTAACATGATTTAGACTAAAACAAGATAGTGGTTTGTTTTTGTGTTGTCAGTTGCGTTACCAACTAGAAAGAAATCCATATAATTTACATTTTGTTGATAAAATATTATAAATGTTTTTTTTGATCAAGAGGTTTATAGAAAGGTTGCACAATATCAACAATTAAAATCGTTAAGCATTAACACAAGCAAGAAAAATTAGCAAATCAACAATATACACAATTAGTAATTTAATTTCTCACCTAGGTTCAATATGTAGGTAATATATATTTCATGCTGTCCAACTGAGTGCAATATGTAAATATGGCTTACGGCACGTGTGTGTATCCTATACCAAATTAATATATTTATCAGCTTTGTCTGTCATACACGTAACTTGATTTACTAATCAGTTACACTACGTACATAAACTAGTTAACAAATACTAGTTGTTTTGGTCTTTGAATACTGTACGATACATATTTTGACCAGAAGTTAATAGCTCAACTGGAAAATACATTAACCACTGTGACTGAAATTCCCAATTTAAATAATCGTTGGTTTTTCGATTCTGTTGTTTTTTCTTGGATCTCTCGGGAGAGAAATGTCCAAACTGATGTTTTAGCAAAGTTTGCTTTGAATGCTGTTGACAATGTTGTGGTTGATGAAGCACTTATTATGGCTTCCAACTAACTGGTTTCGGTTATTAATTAAGTTGAGTTTCAAAAAAAAAAAAAATTAATCGTTGGTTAATATTACGTGATATAGTTACGGATTTGGAAGAATTATAAATTTTGGCCCCAAACCTTTTGGTATTCCAAAGATACATGCCAAAAAGTCATGAGATGGTTGTTAATTATGGAATCACTTAATAACTGATACCTGTACCAAGCTGATCAAATCCATTACCGTCCAATTAGTGCAATGTGTAATTGAGGGACACGTGCATCCAAATATCACTACCTTCCCTACTAGATTAATCACATCCTCCGATTCCACGTAAACCATAATTTATATTTATAAAAATCCTTACATTGTCCACGTTGTACTAATAACATTATTGATGTATAGATCATACAGTTGATGGTTGTATAGCAAATCATATAGTTAATGATTGTATAGCAAATCACATCAGTATTGCTATGACGCATTTCAGTGTCTAAACGACGTTTTACCTTTAGGACGATCTATCTGCTACGAGTATTGTGAATTGTGATCCGATAGAATTAGCTGGTCCTAGTTCGTGAATGGGGTCTAAAATTTCCTCTATTTAGTTTTGTTTAACTTAGTTACCAAGAACACTTAAACTGCGTCATCAGCTTAGTGAAATAAGCCAGAAATGTTCTTTACATAAATTAGGTTCATATATCTAAAGAAGCTGATTAATTACTGGATTAATTCAATTTGAAATGTGCAAGTAATTGTTGATGAAATACTTCCTGTTTTATTAACATTTTAACATTTAAATAGTTATTTACAAGGATATTCAGAAACCACAGATTTAAATCTGTATATCCTAAAATTTATAGATATCCTTTGTTTATTTGAACAAATTTTTTTATAGATATCCCATATCCGTCTTATCTCTATTAAAATATATAACTTCATACGCGTTTTTAATAAGAATTGAAGGCTACCATCCATCTGACTCATAAAACATCAATATGTTTCTTAAGAAAAAAAAATGAATCGTTTAATCTACAATTCTCTTTATAGATAAAACTGATTCATGGAATTCTATGAGATTTTTTTTTGAAATACCACAAGTTTGATTCAGTTTTTCAATAATACACTCAATCAAAAATACCATAAGATTTGAGTTTAGATTTTAGTGATTATTATTTAAGGTTTAGTAGTTAGAAGGTGGAATTGGTTTATAATTAAACTTTTATAAATGATTATCAAAATTTTATAAATAATTTTAAAGGTTAATTTATTTATTTTTCATCATAAATTTAGGGTATGAAAATAGTCATTCATTAAATATAAAAGTGAAAATGGTATCAAATTTGTGGTAAATTAGAATTCCCCTAATTCTATTGTATGTAACATTTTATGGGTTTAGTTAACAGCAAATGAAAATTTAGTTTAATATTTCATGAATTAAAACACTAAAATTTAAAAGAAATATATTAATGTAAAATGTCATTTAACTTGAATAAGATGGAGTTGCATTCATGTCGGTAATCGTGAAGAATTTATGTGTTATGATACAAATTAATATTTCATGGTTCCATGAATGAAACCATTCATAATTTGTTTTCTTTTGTATTTATAACTTGTATTTGTTTCATTTCAACAAACCTCAGATCTCTAATTTTGACCACAAAACTAAGTTCTTTATTTATCCATATTTATTGGTTATATCTAGAACTCGTCATTATGTCAGTGATATGTACGAAGGTGTTGGAGAAAGTAATAAGGTATCATTATCATAGATTAAGCATTTCGAGATTACAAAACAAAAAAGAAAAGATTACAAAGTAACAAGAGAAGAGTATGGTAATAACAGCTTAGGTAGCTGTCTTTTATTAACTTATACTAATCCATACACTTCACGCTAATGATGTCACAAACTCCATTTCACTTGACGCTGCAACAATACAGAGGAGCAAGAGTACGTTAGGACATTAGAAAATGGTCTCTAGATTTAGATCGAGTAATTAGCCAAGGAAAGAAAAAAAAAAGAATGTGAACTTGCACTTAGCAAAACGAGAACAAAAAGCTTACTTGTCGCAGTTGGTGCTCATGGAGATGGGATAGGGAATGCTAACACCGCACTTTCCAGGAAGGCTAGAGGCTAGACTTGGGTTGATGCCTTGTGCGGCGGTCTTTAGGCACTTGCATGCTTGTTGGCGGTCTGGTGTGGTTTGAGCCATACCATTTAATTTTTTGACTCCCGCACAGCATGGAGGTGGCACCGCCCCGCCACTCGATAGGTAGGTGGCACATGGAGCCAAGCTACTTGTCACTGTGCCACATGTGATTGCTGCATCTACTGATGCGACAATGCACACCGTCAAAACAAGGCATGTAAAGAACCTAAGAGCAATAGCCATGGTGTTTTGATTCTTTTTGTGATAAGAAAATAGGTTGATTTAGCTGAGTTTTTGTCTTCTAAGCTTGTATTCTGCTGTTGGTTATGAGAAAAGTGTTGAGGTGGTGTGGGTTTTTATAGAGACTTTAGATGGCGAAAATGATGACTAAGCTGTTTGTTTGTTAGTAGTTGGATTTGCATTTATAACTTCATCAAAATCTACTTTAAATAAATTTAGATATTATTACATCGTTTACAAAAAGGGTGTGCTAGAATGTTCATGAAATATCAATCTATCCATTGTAACACAACATTTACTTTTTGAAATGTTGTTATCTTAAGCTATCATTATTTAGACAAACATCAAACATAGTGGTTTGTGTTTGCATTGCCAGTAGTGTTACCAATCAGATTCTCTTCTTTTTCATCAAGACCAACCGCCAACCAGATTCAAAATACACATAATGTACTTTTTGTTGATAAAAATATTGTAAATGTTTTTTTTTTGATCCAGATGCTTATAGAAAGGTCACACAAGATTATTAAAATTGTTTTGCATTAAAACAAACAATAACAAAATTAGCAAAGGAAGGATATACATAATCAGTAATTTCCCAGCTACGTCTACGTTTGAATGTAATTTTTTTTTCATACCGTCCAATTTAGTGTAATGTGTAACTATGGCCTACGAAACGTGTGTATTCTACACCAGATTAACATATTTATGCTATACATGTAAATTAATTTATAAATCATGAATTTGCACTACATAAGTAAACTAATTAACTTACTGTTTTTATACCTTTGAATACTTAAAGATGATATGTTTTGACTTAAAGCAGGGTCTTTACTGTGTACAGATTCTCTTAAAAAGTTAAATACCAAAGGTGGGAGATGGTTGTTAACAATGGAAACACTTAACAACTAACAGCCGTACCAAGCTGATAAATCACATTACCGTCCAATTAATGCAATCTGTAATTAAGCAACACGTGTATCCAACATCAAACATCATAAATATCCCTACTAGCTTAAATCACATTCTCCGGTTTCACGTAGACCATATTTTATAGTTTTTCTATTAATGCACACTATGACCACGTTTTGCTACTATCACTATCGATGTATATAGATCGTATAAATATTGGTGTTTTAGTAAATCATATACTCTTGCTATTAACGCATTATCAATGTCTGAATGGCGTCTTACTTATGGGGCTATCGATTTGCTACTAGTATTGTGATCCGTTAGTTTGATTGGGGTCGTAGTTTATGAATAGTCTTAAATTTCACAATATTTTTCTTAAAGAGTAATAACAGTTAAGAATGCCTTATCAGCAATAACGTAAAGTAATGGTGTTTGTGTGAATTTGGTGAAGTCCTTGTTTTGGCATCGTATATAAAATTAAGCATATATATAAAGAAGTTGATTAATTAGTTGTAGATTCAATTTGGAATGTGGAAGTTATTCGTCGGTGATATATTTTTCTTTTTCTGTCTCTAACTAGTACTAGTAGTAACTTTTTTTTATTTAACATTTATTATATTAATGCAATTATTTTAAACTCGATATATATTATCTCAGTTAAATTATTTTTTACATTGTCGGCAGAGGTTTGTGTAGTGAAATTTTGATTTTCAATCGCGTACCGTACGCATGGGCAGATTTAGCTATCTGTACGATGACCCTTGACGGTTCTTGTCCGATAGTATCAACACCATACATCAATCCTTGACACCTAAAGTTCTCTTTCACATCGGGGAAGCATTATCACATGCACATAAAAAGAAAAGGAAAAAAATTAATTGTGCATGAGACAACCCAAAATGAAAAATATTTAGTTTGACACCCGTTTGAAAAAAAAACTTTGATGTTGTTTAGTCAGCAGATCATGGATTTCAGTCTGAATTTTTAACATGATATGTTTACATCTGATAAATTTGCCCACCTCTAGATTAGTAGGATTTAATTAGCTATATAAACAAATTAAAATTAATAAATTAGACTGTGATTAGGAGTTTATGAATTACATAGTATTTTATTCAGAGGTGAATCCAATTTTCTTAATTGTGTGCATAATATAAATGTACAAGTAAACCTCCATGCATTTAGCTATTATGCACTTTCAAGAAACAATACTATATAAGAAAATAAAACTACTAATGCATTTCGCTATATGTACTTTTAAGCAACAATGCTATATAAGAGAAAAACCTTCATGTCTCTCACTTATGTGGTAAAGCTGGCCATTCCTTCCATCTTCAAATCATTTGCATCACATCCTTCGTGAATGTTACAAAATGTGAATTCTTCCTATTTATTTTTCTTTATTAACAATATTCATTGTTAAAATTCAAATATATAAAATAAAAAATGATTAAACAAATATAAATTTAGAAATTACTAGTGATTAGACAATATATATATATATTGCTCTATTTGCTAAATCTAATGACAATATATACTTCATAAATTAATTAATGTGATGGGGGTATGTAGTTGTGATATTTGGTGCTGTGTACGCGTGTCACTCAGTTGCACACCGTGTTTAGTTGAACGGTATTTACAATTGCTGATATTTTATTCGATCTTTAAACCAAACCAAATGCAATCTAAACACTAACAAATGATCTACCAGTCATCATTTTTCCCATCTGAAGTCCCTATATAAACCCATCACCACCTCAGGCTTTTTCTCACATCCAACAGCAAAGCAAAAGCTTAGTAAACACAACTCAACTAAATTACCTAATCACAAAAAAAAGAAGAAGAGCAAATCAAAACACATGGCTTTGGCTCTGAAGTTCTTTACATGCCTTGTTTTGACGGTGTGCATTGCCGCATCAGTAGATGCAGCACTTACATGTAATACAGTGACAAGTAGCTTGGCTCCATGTGCCAACTACCTATCGAAAGGTGGGGCGGTGACGGCTCCATGTTGTGAAGGAGTCAAAAAATTGAATGGTCTGGCTCAAACCACACTGGACCGCCAACAAGCTTGCAAATGCCTAAAGGCCGCTGCAGAGAGCATTGATCCAAGTCTAGCCTCTGGCCTTCCTGGAAAGTGCAGTGTTAGCATTCCCTATTCTATCTCCATGGACACCAACTGCGACAAGTAAGCTTTTCGTTCTCTTTGGCTAAGTGCAAGTTCACATTCTCTTTTGTATTCTTATATATATATGTGATTCCTTAATCTAAAGACCACGGATTTAGTGAGCCAAACTTATACCCTTGGACATTGGTCGTTTGTATTGCTGCAGTGTCAAGTGAAGTGGGACGCATACCATTGTATGGATGATGAGTATGGTTTATCATAAGTAAAATAAAAAGGTCTATGTACGCTGACCTCACCATGCTCCCGGTTGTCTTTTTTTTTTTTTGTTGTTGAAAAGTTTGTCATGTTACTTTGTAATCTTTTGGTCTATATATTGTATCTTAATTATGTTTAAGATGTGACAATAGTACGTGTGTTTAAAAACAAAAGGAAGACAATAGTACCTTATTAATCATCTTTTACTGTGCACGCAGTAAAATGATCAAATGCATTCTAGTTACATGGACCCAATGCATGCTAATTTTATGACCAGTGAATCCGAATCATTAACATTGTTTTCTATATTGCAAACTCACAATTACACTTCTTCTAAATTTTACGTGTATTTTCATGTTTAAATAAAATGAAAATTACATGACACAAAGAGTTTATTTTCATGTTTAAATGAAATGAAAATTACATGACACAAAAACTGAACTGGAATTTTACAGTCACAGACATCAAGGTTCTATCAAATAAGGATTGATTGAAACCAAATGAAAATCGGTTGAACAAGAATTGAGAAACTTGACGGAAGGTAGAAGAAAACCTCAGAACATATTAATTTATTTTCTGAAGAGATCAGAAACATTTACTAAAAGATTCGGAATTGATTTATGAAAGATTTAGAATATTTTTTGAAAGATCACGTTGACGAACAATTTAAAACAAGATAAGATGTTTATGAAAACTTATTTTCCAAACTATCTTATATAGTTTTATTCTTTAAGAATGCTTTCTTTGCTCAGAACCTTTAGTGTGAGGAATGATTTGCTCTCTTCATTTGCACTGTCTGCAGTTCACAGTCTGTTTTTGTTGAAGTACGCTCCGTTTTATTTATGTGCTTTATAGATCTTCAAACGCCTTGCCGGTTTTATCCAGAAAACCCGGCGAGCAGTTCGGAGCCGCGTGATGTCATTTGCATGCAGGACTAAAAGCTACGAGACAATTGTTTTCTGACTGATAAGAGAATATAGTACTATTTTAATCAAAAGTTCAGCAAAATAGTCAATATACAGAGCCAATATTGTTGATGATTAACCGATTTGTTGTGGTTATAAAACTGAAACAACGTGCTTTTTGTGTTGATAAAACGTAAGTCAGACTCTAGTTTGGTTGGTGTTAAGCAAGAGTACGCATTACTCAAATGGACAACAGAGTTTGGTGAAATCTATATTATCTTAATAGTATTTGATTTCCCGGTTCTTAAAACAATTCTTCAAGAAATGACTGAGGTAAACAGTTAAGTGATTGTAACTAATCTTTTTTTTTTGTTTTAGTAAAACCAGATTTTGATAGATATTTATGTCTTTTCTCAAAATGAACTAGATAGTATTTTTTGGCTAAACTCTGTATATATGAAAGAGTAAACACAAACGGAAAACAATCAAGTAGTATAAAGATAGTCTTTCACATTTGCATGTATAACATTGTTTTCTATATCATATTACAAAATAGTATTGCAAAGATATTCCAAAAGAGCTTACAGATTTATAACGCGAAAGTGAAACTATTATTAGACGTAGAAGAAATACACACGAAAGAAGAGTTCGAGCCGTGATATATACGTCAAGGTGAGACCAACATCATGTAATTATCCCTTTTGCGTTAAAAAGACATATGACAAAAATAAATTAGCTTGAAGCTGTACACTATCAAAAGACCGAAATTGGGAATTTTTTTTGTAAAAGTTACAAAAAAATTAAAAACAAAATGCAAAGTCAGATTCATGTTAGGTCAAACGTTATCGTGATTAGTTGAGGTAATTTTCTAATATTCTTAATTCCGCATTTCGTGTTTCCAAAGTCTCTCTTTCTTTCCAAACCTTATTATATAAAAAAAATCATTAAACCAATCAAGAATTTAATTAAACTGAAAAAAATAAAAAATGACATGGACTATATAAGTAGCGGATCTCTCTTCTCTTCTCTTCATCTCAATCAGATCAGAAAAGAATCAGGTTTTTAGGTTTCACATTTAAATCTCGTTTTCGATCTCAGAGCAAAGCAATGGCGGCTACAAGTGAGAAACAGAACACCACCAACGGCTCAAAGCCTCCTCCTCTGCCTTCTCCTCTTCGCAATTCCAAGTTTCTCCAGGTGATTTGATTCATTAGCTTGTTTGGATCCGATTCCAACCATTTCAGATTAAGATTCGATCGTAACCGTTAAATCTAGTTTAGTTTCACCGTGAAATCCTTATTACTGAACACTGCATTGTTTAGTTTGGTCCAAATCCGAATCAGTTATGTTACCAAGGATTTTTCTATTATAATATAGATTAACCACGAAAACTGGAATAAGGATCCGATTACAAACTAATTAAATAAAAGATCACAATTCAAATATTTTTTAACTAGCTTTGATCAACCCATAACCTCGGCGCGTTTAGGGATCTTATGCTAGTTACTTGATCTCTTTGGCATTGTAATAAAGATCTTGGTTATGCCACGTAGATCTGACTCTTGTTATCGTAGATTTGATTTAATAAGATGTTATTTGTGTAGTCGAACATGAGGATCTTGATCTCGGGAGGGGCTGGGTTCATTGGTTCTCACTTGGTTGATAAGCTTATGGAAAATGAGAAGAATGAGGTTGTTGTTGCTGATAACTATTTCACTGGCTCTAAAGAAAACCTCAAGAAGTGGATTGGTCACCCAAGATTTGAGCTTATTCGTCACGGTATGACAAGACTCTTTAGTTTTGTCTTCTTTTTTTTAATATTGGTTTTGTTATTGTTTTATGTCATTTTTGATCTCTGTTTTTGGTTTTTTGGTGATTGAAATATAAGATGTTACGGAGCCTCTATTGCTTGAAGTTGATAGGATTTACCATCTTGCTTGTCCTGCTTCTCCTATCTTCTACAAGTACAATCCTGTTAAGACAATCAAGACCAATGTGATGGGTACAATGAACATGCTTGGTCTTGCCAAGCGTGTTGGAGCAAGGTTCATCTCTTATTTTACTTACTCAAATCTTCTTCTAGTTTCTCTCGTCTAACATTTTTTACTCTTCTTGTCTTATAATAGAATTCTGCTCACATCAACCTCGGAAGTGTATGGAGACCCTCTCATCCACCCTCAGCCAGAGAGCTACTGGGGAAACGTCAACCCTATTGGTGTTCGGAGTTGCTATGACGAAGGCAAGCGTGTAGCTGAGACATTGATGTTTGACTACCACAGGCAGCACGGCATTGGTTAGTTTGTCATTCCCTCAAACTAATGTTTTTAAGACCGGACCGGGTCAAACCTGTTTTAGTAAATATGATATATGATTAAAATATAAATAAATATAAAATATGAAACATTATTTTTTTGTTCATAGAGTTGGTTTATGGATTTTTGATAATTTTAATGGTTTTTATTAAGTTCAATAACTTTGCTATGTGTATAAGTTCAATAACTTTGCTATAAGTTCAATAATCCCATGATTTGAATAAGATTCTTATTAGGGCCATTTGGTATATGTAGAAATCCGCATTGCTAGAATCTTCAACACGTATGGTCCTCGAATGAACATCGATGACGGGCGTGTGGTGAGCAACTTCATTGCTCAAGCACTTCGAGGTGAGGCATTGACAGTTCAGAAACCAGGGACACAGACCCGCAGTTTCTGCTATGTCTCCGACATGGTGGATGGCCTTATCCGTCTCATGGAAGGTGATGATACTGGTCCTATCAACATCGGTAACCCAGGTTTGTCTTCTTCCTTCCAACATTAAACTTGAAAAGCTCTATCAGCTTATGTCTGAATCTCTCTGTTTTTTCTCAGGTGAATTCACAATGGTGGAACTGGCTGAAACGGTTAAGGAGGTTAGAACTTGTTTTCCATTGTATCCAGAGTTTTAGTTCGTGTTGTTTGGTCTTAATGAAATGTTTTGTTTATATGTTAAAACGCAGCTTATTAACCCGAGCATAGAGATAAAGATGGTGGAGAACACACCGGACGATCCAAGACAGAGGAAGCCAGACATAAGCAAGGCCAAAGAAGTTTTGGGTTGGGAGCCAAAGGTGAAGCTCAGAGAAGGACTTCCTCTCATGGAAGAAGACTTCCGTCTAAGGCTTAACGTCCCCAAAAACTGAAAACGCAAACGCACAGGAGAACGCGTCTTGATTTGAGGAGTTTGTCAGCTTCATATACTACAAAGTGGTGCTTTGGTTTCATTTGTTTTTATTGATCTTTGCTTCTGTTGGTAGAAAAATAAGTTGAGATATTTTTTTTTTGTTTTTTTTGTTTTAATGAGGAACGACTCTTTTCGGGTTTTTGTTTTCAATATATTAAATATAATAAAAGAAATGTATAATATACTCTTCTTTGTTTCACTTCTGACTTTTTTATTGATCTTTTTTCGTTTTTATAGGAATCAAAGCCCTTCATTTTTCTAATTATTATATAAGAGGTTAGATTATCTCTAATATACATCTCTAAATATAACATATGCTAAATAGTAATATACAATTTATTTAAAACATATCAATTGTCAAAAAGAAACAAATCTATACTAAATATATCTTTTTATGCAATTCACAAAAATTAGTATAAGTTAAGATCACATATTTATTATAATACTGTATGCCATTGTATTATTTAATTTATGAATTAGTTTTAAATAAATTGTATATTACTATTTAGCATATTCTAAAGTACATGATTTAAATAAGTGAGTAATAATAGACAATGTTGTTTTGTTAAAATGATAAATATATTTTGGTTTGAAAATAATAATTGTTTTTTGTTCATTAAGGTGGAAAGTTTATTCAATTTTTTTGGAGTTTTCTCTTAATACTAAGCCAAAAAATCAAACCATATAATTTGTCATAAAAACAAAAATAAGCCTAAATTCTATTTAATAAATAATTACCGATTTAATTTAAGTAATGCAGTTCAGTCAACTATATAACTTGTATTATTTGTAACACTATAGAAAAAATCCAAATTTAAATGAAAATTTGTATCCCGTAGATAAAAAGAAAAACTATATTTTAATAGAGTAGATTACTTATTTAACTTATTAATGTTGGAAGGAAGAAGAGACCTGGGTTACCGCTGTTGATAGGACCAGTATCATCACCTTCCATGAGACGGATAAGTCCATCCACCATGTCGGAGACATAACAGAAACTGCGGGTCTGTGTCCCTGATTTCTGAACTGTCAATGCCTCACCTCGAAGTGCTTGAGCAATGAAGTTGTTCAAATAAACTAATTCTTAAATTTTATAACTTTAAACAATTTTTTTTTGTTTCAATGTAATCTGACTTTATAATTCAAAAATATGCGCGTTTTCAAAGCGCGTATCACAATTTTATATATATATATATATATATATATATATATATATATATATATGATTGACAAAATACGATTTATCATAACATTATTTTCATAAAAGAAAAATGATTAACAATATATGATTTATCATAGCATTATCTTCATAAAAACAAAATCTATATACGATTAACAAAATCTAATTATCATATAGCATTATCTTCATAAAAGAAAATCTACACATACATTAACATTTTCATAACATTATCTTCAATTCTCTTAGCAACCCGTTATTGAAAATAGGAAACTGCAACGATGATAAGATAATAAACTGATTTTGTTTACAAATTCCTAATACTAGTATAAATTATACGTACAAATCAATAGGTTGTACCTCACTTTTGTAGAATCTTACACGTACAAATCAATAGTAGTATAAATATAGGTACAAATCAATAGGTTGTAACCTCACTTTTGTAGAATCAAACTTGAGAACTAAACTCTGAAAAGCGATGTCAAATAACTATGAAGATGGAGGCGATTACTTTGATCTTGATGATACCATGTTAAATAACGATGAAGATGGAGGAATTTACTTTAATCCTGAAGACGAAGAGCTCATCAACGATCATCTAATACCTAAGTTAAAAGCGTATCTAAAATCCAAGTCAAAAGATGAAGACTGTGAAGACTCCAAACCCGAGTCAAAAGAGGAAGATTATGATGACTTCATCGAGATGAAGAACGTGTACGATAAGGAGCCATGGTTGCTGGACCATATCAACAATCCTTTGTTCAGAAAAAACGAATGGTTTTATTTCGTGACAAGGACTCAAGTGTCGGTGAAGAACACTGGTCGTGGTAGGAACTCGAAGAGGAGGATCACCGATATTGGGAGTTGGAAAGCTAACGCTAAACAAGATATCAAGGACGAAGAAACAAAGAAGATCATAGGTAAAAAACAAACCCTAAAGTTCACTAAAAGCGACGACAATAAGAAGAAGCAGAAGACTGGAGACAATACTTCCGTTGCTGTTGTTCCGGGGAGCAATAGTAGCTGGATTATGTACGAGTATTCACTACCGGACGAACATACGTTTCAAGAGCTGGTCCTGTGCAAGATTCGCAAGATAAGCAAGTCCAAGGATTGGATTGAAGATCTATCTGACAAATTCGCAAGGATTGGATTAGATGACCTACAACAAGCAACAATCTACCCTCTTGCTCAAACTAGTGCTCCTCATCCAGCTCGGTTTGGCGATAAATCTCTACCAATCGAAGTGCATGATGATGAAGATGAAAAATTAATGAACCAAGAACTTGATGAACATCTTTTCTAGTCCATTATAAGCTTTAAGTTTCCATGTAGAAACACAAGAAGCGTCAACATGTATTGAACATCTTCTTAATCTTAATGAAAATTATTCTTTATTGTTTCTCAAATAGTTTTCAATTGTATATGTGATTTAATTTTTTTTCATCAAACAAAAATAATCCATTTATACGTTCTGTGAAAATTTGGGTAATACGTTAGAGACAATACAACTGCATGAATTACTAATAGGTCAATACTCTCTCTTCCTTGTTGGTTTATGTGATTTGAACTGGAGGTTAAGGTGTTGAGGAGAAAGAGAACCATAATTGCTTTAGTCATTAGCGAAAATCGCCTTTTGCAATATAATTTGATATCCAAAATTTGAGAGTTGAATTCGTAATGCAGTATTGCATGTCTGTATGAGAGTGTATGCTGTAAGATAAGAAACAATTGGTCTATTTTTCTCCTTTGTTGTTTGTGTTATATTTTCCTTGTATTAGGCTGCCTGTAACATACATTCGATTGAGTTTGTATTGTTGTAGTTTGTGAATTCAGCTGTAATAAATTGTTTATGCTTTGTAAAATTTTGGAAAGGGATTATAACCTAGCTATTATCATGACAAATAGTACCGAGGATGATTGATATATACATCTTAACCACTAATATTTTGGAGGCTATAGGTAAATGTTTCATCTCACTAGGATGTCTCTGCCACCAATATCCACTCCTCGGGTTACATGAATGTTGTTGCTCATGCTCGTGTTGGCTCGAATATGAAGAGTGTGAAGCTATGGTCTTGTTAAAAAAAATTTATCACTAACATTGAACCAAGAACTTGATGAACATCTTTTCTAGTCCACTAGTCTATAAGCTTTAAGTTTCCATGTAGAAACACAAGAAGGTAGCGTGAACACTTACTGATCTTGCTCAATTTTTTATTTTTTTTTAATGTAAAGCTCTTGTTTACAATTATGTAATTTACTTCCTCATCAAACAAAGAGAATTAAATTTTTCGTTTTGTGAGAACTTGGGTAATAACTTAGAGATAATACAACTGCATGCCGGAGTTAGTAATAGACCAATACTCTCTCTGTTTTTTTTTTTTTAAAAGATCAATATACTCTCTTCCTTGTTAGTTTATGTGATTCTAACCGGAGGTTAAAGTATAAACCAGAAAGGACTGAGGAGAAAGAGAATAATAAATGGTTTAATCTTTAGTGAAAATCACCTTTTGCTATGTAATTTGATATCCAAAATATTATTGAATACATATGAAGACCTCATCTTCCCACAAAGAAGAATTAATTTGGTGGTCTGGTCCTGAAAGAAAGTGGTTTAGACCTCATCTTCCCACAAACACAAATCACTAAACAGAGATATAAATTAGTCTTAACAATATTGGTCAAGGAAACTGTCTAAAAAAATCGTGACCAAGCTATACCATTAAATACATACAAAATTATGTGATTTTCTCAAATCAGTAAAATAATAACTCTGAATTTTAATTATTTATTAAGTTTTTAAAAGTTGTTATATCATTAATTGAGTGACAAAGTAATTGAGTTTCTCATTGCTAGTCTCATACCATCTCTATCTTTTCCTTTATCTTTTTGTTGTTTATAATGTTTATAGATTCACTGAAAGACTATTGAAACACCACCGTAGATGACCATATTGACCACTTCGTCCGTCATCAATGCAGATCATAATTTTGTAAATAGTTTGGCCGGACAAAACTGATTGTTAATTATGTGTTATATGATGAAGGCATGCGATGAAAGTATCTAATTATCTTACTAAGAAGGCGACATAAAAAATCTAACACCCACCCTTAAATATATCACTCCAACCTAAATTTTGGCGGTGAACTCGAGTCATGTCTTTGTTTTCTTCCCAACTAACAACTAACCTACATTTAATTTCGTCTCGAGGTTACGGTGTCACAACCACCAATAAATACACAACTATTGGAACAGAAAGGAAAACATAATAGCTACCAAAATTAAATAGATCAACGTTGGTTTATCAGAATTCATACAAACACAGGAGAGATCATTAATCAGTGAAAAGGATTAAATAAGTTTAATATGATACGACATGCTAACAAATTTGATATCTCTTCAGTTTTCACCATTTAATCATACTGACCAGAAAAATACAAAAATGATAAAGCAAAACAAATAGAAAATAGAAAATAGAAAATATTCCTCCTCCTCACACTAACTCCCGTGAACCTCAAGAACAATCCAAAAAACAATCAAGAAAAGTACAAACCCTAGATATTTATTTAGAAACACAAGTGTGAATAAAATAATACATATATGATAATCAACAAGCACAACCTGAGGCAGGAAGAAGATCCTTCGTCTCCCGGTCACTGGAGGTATTCCGGAACGTTCGGCTCCCAAACAACATGAAACCGATGGCATGACCGGCTAGGGCGGCGATAAACACGCCGGCGTTGAATGACATGACGGCGAGCATGACTAGATAAGAGAGGCCGGTGCGGAGGGTGTACACGGCGGTTTGGACGAGTCCGGAGGCGGCATTAGCCTTATCTCCGGTGGTGCCACGGAGGAGAGGGGAGTGAGAAAGCCATTCGGTGAGGACGGCGAGGAAGAAGACAAAGATGATACAGAGAGCATACATGCCGGAGCTTGTTCCCGGCCAACCGGAGAAGAGAACCTCCGTGTTCTTGCCCCAAAAGAACGTCATGTGCATCAACATCATCTTGTGTCCTCCTCCTCCTCCTTCTCCGCTCATTGATCCGTTGTTCATCATGGATGATGATGGTGGAGGCATGTCATGCATGTGATTATGATCCATTCTTTGTTTGTTCTTGAGTCTCTTTGGGTGTTAATTGGGAGGAGGAGGATAAAAACGTTAGGAAGAAGGTTGGTAGATATTTATTGATATTGGCCCTTACTGTAATTCCTTTTTTTTCATTTTTTGGATTTGTGTGGACATAAGAGTAACGATATTATTGTAGTAAAGTACAACTTGTTTTTCGACTTTTCAAACTTTGTTCGTACAAATTTACGATAATGGTAAATTATATACCTTTTTTATTAGTTTACGTACTTCAAAATTAATAATCTGAATTAAGTACTAATTTTTTGTTCTGGAATTACAAATACTGTATCGTACTTTTATTTCACTATTTTGGGAATTTTCTAAATAAATTTTTGATTGGTATAGTGTAGCGTATATACAAACCAACCAAAAAAGAAGATTTGTATGATGCGATATCTCATAAAAGAGACAATTTGAACTGTAAACATAACGTTGACGAATGACCAAAGTCACTAAGGCTAATATTATAAGCCGAATCCAAGAAATCGCCACTTCAAGTAATGCAAACGCCACTTCTATAATCTCAGATGCCATTTATGTCATCAGCGCAGGGAGCAGTGACTTCATACACAACTACTACATTAACCCTGATCTCCTCTACAAAGTTCAGTCACCTGATGACTTCTCTGATCTCCTTATCCTCTCCTACTCCAACTTCATCCAGGTTATATATATATACACTTCCTCTCTATCATCACTTTCATTTATATATTTAGTGTTTTTTACCTAATTTGTTAGTAATATTTTCTTGTTCTGTTAGAATTTATATTCTTTAGGAGCAAGAAGGATAGGAGTGACTACACTTCCACCATTGGGATGTTTACCAGCTGCCATAACAGTGGCTGGTCCACACGAGGGTGGATGCTCAGAGAGTCTTAACAACGACGCAGTCTCATTCAACAGCAAACTCAATGCGACGTCGCAGGAACTTAAGAGAAGCCTCATTGGACTCAACTTAGTCGTCTTTGATATCTATCAGCCTCTCTATGATCTCGCCACAAGACCATCCGAATTTGGTATTTTAAACTTTTACAAGCATTAAAATGCTGTGGTATTTAGTCTCATGATTAACATTTTTGTTGTGTTTTTATGTAATTGTTCAGGATTTGCAGAGGCAAGACGAGCTTGTTGTGGAACAGGACTGCTAGAGACATCGATACTGTGTAATCCTAAATCAGTAGGGACATGTACTAATGCAGCTGAGTATGTATTTTGGGATGGGTTTTGCCCATTTGAATTTCAAGACATAATCAAGATTTATATCTAGAGATAATTTCTTAAGTCTCTTTCTCTGGTTTACATTTATCAGACAATGTAATGAGAAACACAGGCAAGGGAACCTGAATGTCTGTTTAAAGGCCCACTTGGTCGGTGACTTCTTGAAGCTTGCCACTTCATGTGTCAATGTGTGATGATGCCTCCTTAGACTAACCATGAAAGGTAGAGAAGACTGAGTTAAGACCCTTCAATAGATCTACAATTGAGAAAGAAGAGAATCATGAATCAAGTCAATCTGAATATTTTCAGTTCAAACTACAATCTGACAGTTGAATGAAACGAACTTGAAACAAGATCAAACTCTATATTACTGTAAGATCAATTGCAGAGTACTGTTCTGAGTTTCAAATTGACAAAGTAGTTGAATGCAATAAAGTCATACAAGTCTAATTCTAGAGATGGAGAAACTAAGCTTACTTTGATATATATCTTTGACAGCAATCATATAGCCTTCTAACATCAGATGTGTTTAAAGAGCCGTCCCCATCCATGTTATCCTCCTGCAAAGTCTCCTTGCGAATATTCCAATTGTTCAACATAGACTCGATCTTTTGTATCTGTTATCACTAAAGGTTCAAGAAAAGGATCTATACAAAAAACAAAACAAGAAAGAGTAACAAAAAGTATAGGAATATAAGAGTGGATACAGCAATTGTTCGCGAGCTATGAGAAGGGAATGAGTCTTCTAGTTGCATAATGAGAAGATCATCTTCTATAATATCCGAGTTGCTTAGCAAAACTAGTATGTACTGTCTCAGAGAAAATGTGTCTATCTCAGACTCATTGACTCTGGCAAATAACCTCGCAATAACGCTCCAAAGAGCTCTTCTTGCTTCTAAGTCATCCGATGCAAATGGTAAAGTACTGAATAAACCTTCCAAGAAAGAAAAGTCTGCTTGTGCAGATTCTTAGAATCAGATAAAGTCATGAAGCATTAGTTGAACAACTTAAAAAGTAATTAGTTAACCTTGCGATATTTCTGGAATGAAACTGACTGTTTCCGATAGAATATTTGCGATCAAAACTCCTGCAGTAACACAACATGTTGCCACCTACAGTGAAGTCAAAGTTTGTTAAAATTATAAACGTGAGATGTACTCAGTGGAAAGCTCCATATCAACCAAAGTACCTCGGCTTTGTCCTGAAGTTTCATAAGATCACAGACTAAGTGAAAAAGTTCTTTGCTAGAGCAAATATCTTTAGAACGACTATCTGAAGCAGAAAGGGCTTCAATAGCTCGGAGAATCATTTCAAGAACGGAGTACCTGTAAATTATACACAAGTGTAACACACTACATGGTAAAACCATAACATCATAACATTTACTAACACCTGATGACCCTTAAAGCTAGAGTTTCCATTATTCCATACCTTTCTGGAATTCTTTCTTTGACCAACTTGCTCATTTCGAAGGAAAGAAGATTGATCAAGAGACTCGTCAAACCTAGAGTCATTAGTGGAGGGATCAATAGCTTCCCAACCTCTGATTCACCTTCTAAGATACCTAATAATAGCCCTACACTCTATGAAAAAAAAAATGAAAATCATTTAGGCATAAGATTCTCACCAGTTACGAACACATGTATAATCAGAAGTTACCTTTTCAATAAGATGAGGATTCAAGGTGTTTTCCGCAATCCACAAAACACGGCGAAGTATATCATCAGACTGCAAACACTCAGCCCATAAAGTGCTTCCAGCTCCATAGAGACCTGTGGTGAGTATCCTATTGGAACACACATGTCAGTTAGTTTAGACATGAATCTGCATTTGACAGTCCACAAAATATGATTTATCTTGCCTGCAAACTTCACATAGGCATTGAGTGTCATCAAGAAACAACTGCCCCACAAGTACATTGACGAGTCCGGGTGTAGACTCAATGTGTTTCAGCAGACCTTCATGGCAAGCAAGGTTCCCAATAATCCCAAGACATATCCTTGCAAAAAAAAAAAAAAAAAAAATCATTCAGGAAGAGAGATAAATAGAAAATGAATGGAATTAAACCAATTAATTATCATAAATGATAATGAGTTTCTTTACTCGAATGCGGGAAGATGTTGTGACCAGAAGGTTTGCGTGAAGCACTTGTAATATTAGGTTCTGTACCTGCCAAAGCCAAAGCCAAAATAAGAAAACATTCACAACTTTCAGTCTCAATTCCAGTGCCTAGAGTCAAACGCAGATAGTACATTACAAAAAAAAGGCACTACATGGAATCAATCTGCTCTCTTTGTCTACAAGGGAAACTAGTGGATTGCTTCCACCAATTCATCCCCAAAAATGTCCCTATTTGAACTAAAAGCTCATCTTAAGACCAGCGCCTAAGGCAGAGTGTAAAAGTATTACCATGAGCTCAGCATGGGTTGGACTGGTGGCAAGATCCCACAAAACGCAACCATGATCTTCCCATGCCTTGTCCTTCTCCTGGGAAGTGGATTCGTTATGGTTATCTCCAATGTCCATGCTATCTACAACACCTTGAACCGCATTGTTGGCATCCATACGAGGGATTATGCTTTATCTGAGTTCTTTGACCACTGCCAGAATCTACTGGAAGGAGTTTGCGTATCAGTGAGATTATAAAGGTGGGATCAACTGTAGTGTCAATGTCGAACAACTGTCCAGAAGAAAGAAAGGTCAAAACTTTCAATCCAATCTACTGACCCATTATTGAAAAAATTACAAAGACACTAACTTTTTAGCTCAAAGGAGCAAAGAGAGTCACGGCGGAGCTTTACCTCATCAGGTGGAGGCGGGGGATGATGCGACGGACAATCCATTTCTTGCTTTTCTTCGATTTTACTTCTTTGCTTCACTTCAAAAGATCCGAATGTAAAGTCAAGAAAAAAAAAAAAAAAAAGTCAAAAAAAAAGTCAAAATGAGAAAATCAAACGATTCTGTCATACAACTATAAGCAATTGTGAGAGAGTGGTGTTCACTCGCCACTTGTGAGAGTGGGGGTGCTTTCGAACCTTAATTTGGACCATTACAATTATTTTTTTTTAAAAAAAAAAATTATACACATCATTATATTCTCATTTACTATTAGTTAGTAACACTAGTTATTAGTTTTGATGATTTTGAAAATTTTAATAATCTTGCTCTAGGAAGGTTGTTCCTATTTTGCAATCTCTTAGAATAAAAACAAACATTGATGTTTTCATTCCAAACAAAACAACTACGTGTTGTCTTTATCCAAAACATTATGTCCTTTTAAATCAAATAAAAAATGGGGAGTAAAGCAGCACTTGGATTTAACGGAAACTCATTGAAGTAAAAAATTTTCGTGTGTTCTTTTTTTTTGTGAGATTAAAGACAGTTAAGGCCTTAGAGAAAAATAGTTGTGTTCTTTTCTTGTTAGATTAAAGACAGTCGTCCAATAAAGCAGAGGACTGGTTCACATGTGGTAAGCCATCATTTTGCTTATGCTCTGCACTATTTGGTAATGTTATGCATCATCATCTCATCTCAGATTCTCAATTGGTTCAAAAGCCAATGAAATGTCAAAATCTTTTGTGTTAAACAAGTGAATGAGAAACAAAAAATTAATAATCAATACATATCCAACTCCTTGATTCCCTAAGAATGAATAGGGAATAGGTCCAAATAATTATACTTTCGAGAAAGCCGTATATTCATTCTATTTTTCTTTTTTTTTGAATAAAATGATAAATTTGATTCAAATAACAAAGACCTTGTTAGGTAGTGTCCTTTTTATGATTTGTTAAACAAAATAGAACAAAACAAGTAGAAAAAAAGAATTCCTCTTCAAACCATCTATCCTCTTCAATAGCATACATCATCTTTTTTCAAAAATATCTAGCACTCACTCCTACTAAACACCCAACTCTCTCTCCTAATAGTTTCTATTCCTCTTTTTCCTTTTTATCCAACCTTCACTCCTACTAATTAACCAGCTCTCACTCCTCATTCTTGATGTACACTTCCTAACATACAAAGTGAGAAAACACTTAGCATCCTTTTTTCTACTCAGATAGGAGTTTTGGATTTTCCATACGTTTTAATAATAAATTTATAATGGTAAAACAACAACTTCAATTTATTTCAATAATTATTTTTTAATTAATATAGATAAAAATGTAAACAAAACAAAACTTGCACTGAAAACACAAAAATTATATCTTTGTTAAGGTGGCTAGAAGTTCATTATTACTCTCAACTAAAATTTATGAATATGATTACAAGAAATCCAGGTTATATTCTTATTCTTTCTGTTTGAATATAGTTCTTATACATATCATTTTATAATTTTAATGGAAAATTTATTAATTTTATATTTTATTTCACTTTTATTGATTAAAATATCACTAAATTTATACATGCGATCAGTGTTTGGAGATTCACGAGAAACTCACAGAGCGAGAGCTGGTCTTGGTTGCATTCTCCGTTGTCTTTCCGATACTATCAACATCAATTGAACTTTGGACCAACTTGCGAATACAATTCGCCACGCCAGTTGCTCCATGAGTGGTGATGAGCCAATTATACCACCAACTTGTTAAAATCTATTTTCATCATCAACCAATAATGGAGATTTCAAAAAAAGAAACCACTAACAGAAGAACATTTTTATTTTGGTTATGCGAAAATGCGCAGCATGACCTCTAAACTTCGTGCATGCACAAGAATCAAGCATTATGATCCAAACAAATATTAAAAACTAGGGTTGGTCTGGGCTACGCTCGGATTTTTTGTTTAAGTTTATATGTTGTATGTTATTTTGATATATAAATATTAGAGTTTATTATAAAATATAACTAATTAGACAATTATGATATTATTTGTTTTTTATCTTACGAACTTCAAAATTTTTAATATCAAAATTTTGTATGTCATAGATTATCATTATGTGTTTATATGTTTTGTGTAGATTTTTTGTGTATTGTGGCTATCATCTCGACTTTTATTTCTTTATTTATTGTGTCTTATTATTTTTTGAATTATGTTTTGTAAAATATTTTTTGGTTATGTATTACTCATTTTTTATTGTTTGAATCATTTTTTGATAACTATTTTAAATTTGATCTTATTTACCTAAAATGGAAAAAAAAATTAGTGTTTGAATCTTTTTTTCCTTATGTTTGACTTAACGTAAAAAAAACAATATGATAATAGATTTTTCTCCTTTCCAAGCTTATAGAACATTGTATTTTTTTCCTTAACTTTTTTGTATTTTTTTTTGTTTATATATAAGGTGATGAGGAATGAATCAAAAATTAATTAAATTTTAGTTATGGTGTTTAATTGGCTGAATTCTAGTTATGGGAGTATTTTTATAACCACGGAAAATATAATGATTTATCACCAAAACTTGCAGTACCAAAAATTACAATTTTTATATTAATTGATATATATTAATATCTAATTATTCATATTTTAATTTTACGAGAATCTAAAACATTTAATTATAATTCTTTCAATTCAAAGTACCTCGTATTTTGGATTGAGTTTAACATAAAGTTAAAATATCCATTTTAAAATATTTATATATATATATATATATATATATATATTAAGATACCCAAATGAGAGCTCTCATTGGAGTGTTATAACATTTGAAGGTGATTTATTACAAAAAAAATTTGTTTATTATAGTCACGGCAACTACAAATCGTATCCAAAACGACAACAAAAAAAACCAAAAATCTCAATAATCACTCATAGACTAAGAAGAAGATATATTTATTGTTCAGAAATCAGCAAATATATTTGAACCAAAGCCTACAACATAGAAAATTTGCATTAGTTATTAATAAGTTGTCAAAATTTAAAAATCTATATATTCCTTCTGAAAATTACATAGTTCTTTGAAAATATATATAGTTGTTTATTTTCATATATATTTTAAAAACAAAAATTTAAAAGTTCTAGTAGTAGTTATTAATAAGAAATTATTAAAACGAATTTATATATCATGCTGTATAGATATTATGAAAAGATTTTAAATAATGTAATTTCACGGTTTGCTTAATTAAAAAGTTCACAGACTTTTAGGCTATGTGAACAAATATAACGGTAAAGCTAGAAACAAGACGAACTACCTCAAGTCTCAAAGATAATCAAAGATTCTAGATTTCCTAATCTTTAGGTTTTACTTCTTCAAAATTGATGTATTAGACTTGAAAAAGGAGATTAATATAGTGACTAAATTCCTTTTTCTACTTTATCTCAACTAAGTCTCTTGTAAGTACAATTTTAATACTCGAAAAAAACAAAATTATCGCATTCTTGTTGTAAAAATGTACATTGTACTACACAACCAAACTCCAACCCAAAAACTAAAACCCTATAATTACCCCCTCACGCACACACATAACAAGCAAACCCCACATCTAAAGTTAAGAATATCTCTAAACAATATGAACGGCATGAGTGGATCATCTCCTGCAGCTCCGGCACCTTCACCGTCGGCGTTCTTCCAACACCGCCGCCATCATCACGGTGGCATGATGCATATGACTTTCTTTTGGGGGACACACACGGAGGTTCTATTCGACGGCTGGCCAGGGACTAGTCTAACCATGTATTGGGTCTGCCTCGCCAGCATTTTCGTCTTTTCCGCATTGTCGGAGTGGATGTCGCGGTGCGGGGTCATGAAAACCGGTTCGGCTAGCTTTGGCGCGGGGCTTATCCAGACGGTGGTTTACACCGTGAGGGCTGGTTTGTCTTATTTGATCATGTTGGCTGTGATGTCATTCAATGGAGGAGTCTTCTTGGCTGCAATGGCTGGTTTTGGATTAGGGTTTATGGTTTTTGGAAGTAGGTCTTTTAAGGACACTGGTAGTAATAACAATCACACCGAGGTTCAGTCACATTGTTAATTCTTATTTGTTTTTGTTGCTTCTATCGTTTTATTTTTATTTCCCGCTGAAGTAACATTAATAATGAAAATAAAATCTTTCAAGTTTTTTAGATCTAGTTGATTTAGTTATAAATTCTCATTATCTTTTTATTGTTGTGGTCACAAATATAATTGTTTACGGCCTGTTTAATAATAAAAAAAAATAATTTAATAATTTACAAAACAAACGCTCAACCAATTAAGTCACATTACTTCTGTATTAATTTATATTATTGATGTATTCCTAATTCGTGAATTTCAGCGTTTGAGGAAGAAGTTGTGATTTGTAAGGATTTAGGCTTGATGCCAAGCACTCTTCGAATGGGATATTTACAGAACTACCTGTTCCTCTTTACTATCAGTTTTCGAAGATTAGTTTGTTTTAATGTTATCACTTATCAGCACCAAAAGATCAGAACATATCTGCTTACTATATTTTCTCCTACACCTTTTTAAAAAAAAATTATATTAAGCAGATATTTAGGAGAAAATTGGTTGGATATACACCAGAAGATAATATAGGATATGGGCTTAGAGTACAGTAGGTTTGGGTCAATTGCTATAGAAGTGAGTCATAGTGTTTCTTAGATGAAAAATACACAAGTTTTTTTTTTTTTATAACACTGATAATAGTTCGAGCCGACATAGTTTCATAACAAATAAAGGAAAAACAAGAAAAAGATAGGTGTCAATAGACATCAAAAGAGAAAAGAAAGGGAAAGCTCACCAAATCCTTCTACACTTGAGCCTCCAAAGCAAGTAGATGATGAAGCCAAACTGGACCTCCTTGAGCGATATAAGATTGGTGGCGCAAATCACGGATGACACTCACCGCTATTGACGTTGCTGATTCATTGCGGACGGAACGGACATGATCTACACTCCAGCAATCTATCTGTGCGAGTAGAAATCTGACATTGTGGCATATATGGCTGAAGATATTGTTGTTATCTGGATTTGTGATAACTCCATGAAGGCTTTCAGACGCTGTTTCGAAGATTATATTTGAAAAACGAAGATTATGCATACATTCCACCGCCCAAAAAAGAGCCCATATCTCGACTATACACAAGTTAATATAACCGAAAAATGTGTGGTTTGATTCGACTATTCAGTTTGCGATATTTAACCTGGATTCACATCACGTTGTGGTCAATTGCTAAGAATACCGCGCCTCTGCCGTTTCCACAATCGTTGCATGCGCATTACGTTGACATATATAAATCAAGTGAAATTGTAAATAATAGTAAGAAATTTTAAAGTTGGAAAACATATTTATACGAATCTGACCAGTTGACCTAAACGCATAATATCAAACTAATTAATACTATTGCTATAGACTTACAAAATCCAACACTACTAGATATTGCTAGCTAGCCTACATGGTGCGGTAAATTTTTAAGCTTCATGTTATAATCACAGTCGATACTATTAAATAATTCAATATCATTTAGCTTTATGAAGGTTTGTTGTGGCACGAAGATATGCCGTTAACCTAAAACCCATACTTAACTTGTCGGTGATGGTAAATAAAATAAAGAAAGAAAAGTCACATGAAGGGTGGAGCAAGCGCACAATGACAGGAAGTGAGTGCACATGAACCTGGAAGCACGAACAGATAATAAGTAAGAAAATAATAACATTTTTGCACAGTACGAGTCGGCGGATTTAAGACCACCCACCATGCCACGAGCATATCATATCTTTTCACATTCTATACATTTTTTGTGTAAATGTTTACTTTTATACCAACATTTAAGTTTTTGACAGAAGTAACAAAGTTAATTAGTAGCAGAAGAATGAAACGACAAGCTAAACAATAGTAAATAGAAAGAATAAGGAACTCCAAACAGGTCTAGTGCACAGTGGACAATGAAAACCGTAAGTTGACTAGGAAAGGTAAAGGCTAAACGTATAAGCATTGCCACAAGGAAAGAGGTATTTTGATAAACAATGAACACGCTCGATAGATATCGACTTTCCCAAAACGTTACTTTCTTTTTGACAAAGACATCTCTATAATATTATTTGAGAAGTCAGTTTCCTACGTGTCGCGCTCACGTTAACTCTCGCGATGGTTGATTACATAGATACCCTTAATGAATTGTTAGATTTTAAGATTATTATTAATTTTTTATTTAGTTTCCTTTTTACTTTTTTCCAATAAAATATATATAATAAAAAGGAAATATTTCTAAAATTGTAAAACAANTTGTTAGATTTTAAGATTATTATTAATTTTTTATTTAGTTTCCTTTTTACTTTTTTCCAATAAAATATATATAATAAAAAGGAAATATTTCTAAAATTGTAAAACAAATTTAAAAACGAAAAATATGTATATAATATGACTTTATTAAAAAGGAAAGTTCACAAAATAGTAATACCCCCATTAATATATATTTTTAAATAACATAAAATATATATTCAAAATAATAAAAATATATATGTTCATGAATATTCAAAAATTACCAGTTACAATTTATTTTTTTGTAGAATTTATATATATGCATGAGACTTCAAAATATTATCATTATATTCATTTATGTAATTTTGAATCAAACACTTCAGTTTATTATTTATTTCATTGTAAGCACAATATATATTAAGTTATACATAATTTAACTATAATATATTTACATATCTAAGAAAATAACCAACCGAAATGAAAATAAGAAAATTAATCAAAGTTTTATTATAATTAGAATAAAAATATTATAACTGAATTCTAAAAATAGATTTTATCCAATATACCAAATTGATAACCATACCGACTATTGATCCAAAAATAATTAAACCGACAATAATATATCCATAGTCATATGTATAATTAGAATAATATAATATTTATTAATATAAATTATACATATAAATTTATTCAAAACTAAAACTAAATATCAATCAATTATTATACAATTTTACTTTTATGAATATTCATATCCGTGCATGAGCACGGGAAAATCACCTAGTTTATTTCTATACACAAAACGCGTTTTGTACGTAATAGTGGTTCCAAACACGTTCTGTAGTTCGATAAGCGTAATTTGTAAACGAGAGATTAAGCATATGAATTAGACGTAACTAAGGCGTAATAATCAAATAAACTTTTTCAAAAAATAAAAAATAATCAAATAGTCTTTTGTTTTTATTACACTGGCGATGCTTTTATTGATGGAATATACTCATTCCCCTTTTATTACAATGTAGGCTTTTTTTCGAAAAAAGCATGCAATATATATGAACATATACATACATATTTTATTGTTCTTTTATCACAAGAATTATTGATTTTACCTGAACCAGCTTATGGAAATAACAATAATAAATAACAAATTCACCCCTTTTCAAATCTATAAGTTTTCAACTTAAAATAATGGTTTTAAAAGCTTTTATTTATTTTTATATTTTGACCCCACTATTCACTCCGAAGAGATACTACCTTCCGAACCCTACAACTTCAGCAATCAAGAGCATGTGCTGATGTTTAATCAGTATGTCCATTCATGTGGCAAATCTGCCGGTGGTTCTTCATGGCTCTCGACCGACGTCTCCGATGTGTACAGTGGTCCACTTTGTGCCCGAGTTGATGAACTACTTCTTTTACTTTTGCTGTTTTTGTTCTTCATGGACACCAACAGAGCATCTATATGATAAAGAATTTCAATAGTTATCGAAGAAAGAGCTTTATGCGGCCGGTTCAGAAAAAAAGGAATGTCAAGAATATCAGAAGATTATTACAAAAAAAAAAGAACATCAGAAGATGCACTATATACCTACATTACAAAAAACATACTTCAAGCTATATTAGTTAAATGTGTCTGATTTTTTTTTGTCTGATATAATGTAATTTAATATTACTTCGGTGATGAATTTTCTTACTAGTCGACATTTTACTAATCAAACTTTTAATATTGTAGAAATTTCAATATAAGAAAAACAACGTAACAATGAAACTTTAAAATCAGCGAAAAATTTGAGAGGTTTTGTAAACGTATATATGGATATAAGTTATAGCTCTCTTTTTATGTAACACTGATATAAGTTATAGCTAATTCTTGTAATTCATCCTTTCATCAACTCAAGAATAAAAGAACAGGAAATTCAATAAGGAGAGAGATAGGTGGGGTTGGTACCATGAAAAGGAGGGATATCAGAAGAGAATGTAGAAGGAACACCCAATTTGTCAAAGTGAACTTTCAAGGCTTCAACCACTCTTGCTGGTATAATTACTGTTGAACATCCTGCAAACAAATTTATTTTTCAGACAAAAGTCAGAACCAAATCTATATCTTAAACCAAACTAAACCGGTCTGGTACTTAGCTCAGAGTAATAACTTCAAGAAATTGTTTGTTGAGACATCAGTTTCATATAACGACAATAAATCTCAATACCAATAGTACAATATATAGAAAATTGTCACCACCTCCCACCAATACCTAAGCCAAATCAAATCTAAATGATGCACAAAAAAGGAATAAATTTTATCAAAAAGGAAGATGACATTCGCTTACAAACCCCACCGACTCCGATATTGGGGTAACGTTTAGGAGTTGAAAATGAAACAATCAAAGAATTTTAATTTGATATATTATGTATAGTTCTTTGTGTTTAAAGAATTTGAGAAAGCCTTGGTTAGTACATATGTGGTTTAATACTAGAGTTAGAAAGAAAGAAAAGTTTACACTATGTGATTAGGATATAGCATTGGGTACCGTCAAAGATCGAACGGTGACATGAGGAAGAATCACAAGATGAATCTTTAGTCTATAATCCACTTATTGAACGAAATAACTAAGGTCTTAAGGAAAAGTTAATTGATAATGATTTTTGAACTTAAATGGCCTATTTTGTTGAAAGGAAAACCAACAACTTGACGCAATATTCTAATCAAGTAGGGCAAATCTGTCCCACCAACAGCTTAGTCAGCCACATATAATCTTAAAAGAAAAAAGATAGATAAATAGGTGAGAAGGAATCTCTGGAATCTACTCAGTCAAACAATGTAATAATGTAAGAGGGATTCTTGTTCCAAAAAAAAAAAAAAATGTAAGAGGGATCTTATTATATATCATATATCCAAAAAAAAATGTAAGAAAAAAGATAGATAATATATGTGTCTTAAAATAATTGAATTTTGAGCTTGGAATGATTGATACTCAACCAGCTTAACTAACTCAACTTAATCTAAGCCCAACTATTAATCATTCAAATTAAAACTATTTATGTCACAACTTATGAATCCTTTTTAACACTTCCAGTTTAGCTCTAATTAATTGGAAAACAATACTGCTTTGAGTAAATGATAAACAGGAATGGAATTTGCGGAACACCAAAAGTCGATTTCTGCATGTGTATGGCAGGGATATGAAGTGTTATCATCTCATCGACCACAGAAGAAGAATTACACTCTAAATCCAGACATAGCTTTTGACCTATCTGGCTATCTCTAATGCATATTTTTTATATACTATAAAAATTACTAGAATCTAGTATATATACACAAGATTCTCACTATGCCAACCCCAAAAAGAAAGTAGGAATCTCGAAGTATCTAGACGACGACGTCACTCCAGCTTTATTCTTTTGTCGTTTATTGTACGTAACCTTCTTTAAAACCACTAACTTTTTTAAAATCCCAAAACATGGTAAAGAGAAAAATAAGATTTTGTTCTGTGCAAACAATAATTAGAATAGCTAAGAAAAATATTAATTCTATTTGATTGTCAATTTTTTTGTGAAATAGTAGTAACCCTAAAACGATATGTAATTATTGTGGCTCTAACCTGATTTATTGCGTGGCTCCACAAGAGTACCATGACCACGTGGTAAGAACACTCCAGTTCCACCCGACACGGTTCGAGAACCAGACCCGTCAACGAACACGGCCTTCACGCCCGACCTTGGTCTCTGTTGGTGGTGGTAGTTCCTTGCTTTGTGTCCTACTACGTCATCGTTTCGTTGCTTATCTTTCTCCTTTTTTATCTTATGGAACTATAATATATAGAAAATAAACACCAAACCTTTTTATTTAAAAGGATAAATGTATCCGACGGTGGTAACAAAATTCAGTTAATTCTAGACCGTCAATATTATTTATAATCGACAATTCTTTTTAAAAAAATATGAGTAGTTAATAAATGACAAAACATGAACTCACGTTAGCTTGAATAGATCGGATCTGGTCATCAATTAAAGCTTGTTTTGATTGAGAAGTAGTCATAACAGGTTTCATCTCCACCGGCCTCACCGGTGTTAGCGGCGGAGATGGTTCTCGTGAAGGGGTGACTGGGCTACTGTAACCGGAGGCGAACGGTGACCAAAGAGTTGACTGTGGCGAGCCAGAGCCACCACTACAAGACTGAAGCAAGAAGAAGAAAGATTAGTACAAGAAAACTTGAGACAGGACAAAAGAGAGAAGAGTCGAACCTTTTGATGTTTTTCATCGTCTTGAAGCATATAGTTAGTCATCTGACGAGTTAACTCTGCAACGTACTCATCTTGGTCTTCGTTCTGTGGCTTTGGTGAAACCGAGTCTTCTGATACGGTGTCGGCTCGGAGCGAGCTAGTGGTTGGAGTGAAGAAAGTTGAGTTTGTGTGGTCGGAAAAAGAGGTGAAGAAATCTATGTCTTGTAGTTCAGTAGATTCCATTTTATGATTCTTGTCTAGAAAAAACAGAGAGAAACAGAGCAAAGCCAGTTACAGAGAGAAGAGAGAGAACTTTAGAGTTGAGAGATATATAAAGAAGACCGTACAGGTGACAGCTTTACCAGAAGGTGTTACGACAATTTCACCTGTCAATTGTTGCGAGTTTGCGACCCACGAAAGATTAAGGATTAAGGAAAGCTATTTTAAAAGAAAGAGAAAATAAATATACAATTGTATTTCTTTTTTCCTTTTTTTCTTTGGAAATATGTATGCATTTACTTATAACGAACCTTTTTAGGTGAATGGTCATTAAAAAAATTCTCTTACAACAATGTATTCAACCAAATTTGATTTTCCTACCATTTAAAGCTTAAACTAGACCTTGACCCGTCCGATCGGGCGGGTATTTATTTAATGTATTTATTTATATTAAATGATATATTTATAATATTTAAACATAAACTTTGATTGAAAATTAATCTTTAAAGTTATAATAATTCAATTTAAAATTTTAAAAAATATTTTGATATAAATTTTAAATTTCTTAATTAAAATAATATAGAGGTGAGCAATAATTGTTTCCAATTCCAAAATCTTATCATCCCTTAAAAAATTATAAATACTTAAAATATATATAAATATGTGTAACTATAACTTCTATAATTTCTTAAAGAAAATAACATATTATTTCTTATTAATAAATATTAAAATATTAAATATGTTAATACCGAATATATTAGGAAATTTATTTTGGTTAAGATTTGACTAAGGAAATCTATTATTTAAACTATGAAAAGATATTAAATACTTAAATCTATTATCTGAATTAGGAAAAGACAAGCATGCTTAAATATAGGTTCAATAAATATCTCAGTGGCATTCTATTGTAAATAACTGATAAAATTAAGGGTTATTTCTATTTGGTACTTCTCTTTTAATAATATAGATAACTAGCATGTGGCAATTTGGAAAGTAAAAAAATGGTATTTAGTCATCATTACATGTCAATTAACTTATTACTAAAGTGTCTAAAAAGGTTGCAAAGTCACGTTTTCTTCGTTTATATGCCGTGGTTAATTAGTCTCTCAACTACATGGTAAATCCTTATTGTGACACTAGATTTTATACTCGCGCTACGCGCGAGTCTGTATTAATAATTTAGCTTAGATTTAAAATAACTTAAAACAAAAAAAAATTAATTGAATAATATAATTTTATTATTTAAAATATAATTTAATTTAGTATTTATGTTTTCTTATAATTATGTTTTCTTATTAGCTATTTGGTTATTTGTATTTGTAAATATAATAANAACATATTTTTTATAGTATATATTTTTGTTACCATTCACCTTTTTAGAAATAACAAAATTAAGATAGTCATTTGCCAAATTATTTTGGTATTTACTTAATGTTAATTTTTAAAATTCTTCTATATACTTAGTTAACTACCTCACTTATATATGATGCTTTTACTTTCGTAATTTATCAAATTTTGATACTGATTTACATCTATTATATTAAAAGAGAAGTCATGACTCACTTCATGTGTGATTTTTAAGTTTGGACCATCCTTAGAAATTTTATATAACATAACATCATTATAATATCTTTTCATATCTTTAATATTTATTTGAAATACAAATAAATAATTTTAAGAAAAGTCTAACAAAATCTTTAAAAATCTTATAGAATCTTTTCAAGATATAATTTCAAAAATTATTTGATTAAAAATTTAATTAGCATAGAATATAATTTATTTAATTCATTTTTTAACAAAAAATTAAAAATATGTAATATACTTTTAAAAATATCCCAAAATTTTGTTTATGTATTATGTAGGTCCAATTTAATTTACTTTTTATATATTTAAAATTTAGAAATAAAAAAATATATATAAATTAGTAATGTTACATAATAATGTTTTTAAAAATTGTTACAAAAATACAAATTTATAAATTTTAAATTATATTATAAGCTACATAAACATTATTATAAAATTGGATAGTATATACAATCAAATTATATTTATTTATTGATAAGAAATATATGATGTTTTAGATCATAGCACAAAAATTAAGAAATTTATATTCTTTTACAAAAGTATTTTTAAATATATAACTTTATAATCATTCAACAAATTATTAAAAAGAGTAAAATTTTAGCGATTGAACAGTTTGTAATAAAGTTAAAGATAACTTTAAAACCTCAAAATATACCTTAAAATCTCAAAACATCTTATATTTTGAAATAAAATAAATCATATAAAACATTATCTATTGAAAATGGAGTGAGTATTATATAATTTCAAATATTTTCGTATTAAAATACCCGCACGGTTGTGCGGGTCGAGATCTAGTTTTATATTGAAATAGATCATTTTTGTAATATTGACTTTTTCTAAGAAATATCAAAATTAAGATAATTAGTTATTTTAATGTTAATTTCACAAATCTGTAATATAGTAAAGTTAACTTATATATAATGTTTTTACTTTTTGTAAGTTTACCTGATACATATTTAATTTTTATTTTGAAATTATTGTTTTGGCAACATTA